TTTTTTATTAATTCTTTATAAAAAATTACAAATTTAAATAAAATTCAATATATACTTCTTCATATTCACTATTAGTTTTATTTAAACTAAAGGATTAAATAATGGCGCAGAAGAATAATGTTGTTGTAACAGCATATGATAATTTGTTAAATCTGTAAAAGGAACAACAGGAGTATTGTAATTAGGCAAAGGGACAATAGAACTATTTGGAATTGCTAAAGAAGTAGCAGAAACACTTGAAGTAGTTGGAACAGATACATTTGAAGTTGTTGGCAATGGTAATATTTTTTTGTTTGTTGAAGGTTGTTTTTTTTTTGTTTGTTGGAGACATGATAATCATAATTTTAAAAATCATTGATTGCAATCTTTATATTCATTGATTGTAATGATTGTGCATCATCTCAATCACTATCTAATCACACTCAGGAAGATGCTTGAGAGCACCCTGAATTACTTAGTCGAGTAATTCGAGCCATGCAATTAGTTTATTGATAAATTTTATAAATTGCTTCAAATAGCGAGTCACGAAGCAATTTTGTATGTTATAAAAACAAGGATAATTCAATTTATGTGTTATGAAACAAATATATCAATTACAAGTACGAATGCAATAAACTGATTCATAATTATATCACTAGATCGACTAGAACTATCTTTAAATTTTCAGTGCTTACGGACGAGATAGTTAATTTAAATTTGAAGTCCATCATTATACGTAATGTTGTTAGCCGAAATTGTTTTGAGCTTATAGAAATATTTCGACATTTGATATTTAGTCTGCCGAAATACTAAAATAATGCCGAAATTCTAAATTATGCCGAAATATCTAAATAATGTCAAAGTGTCTAAATAATGTCGAAATGTCCAAATTAAATATATATATAAACTTATTTATTAGCAAATATCCGAACTTGCTTATTTTGTGGATTTCATGCTACTTAATAAATTTGATCTAAAAACGGTTGTGTTTCTATTAAGCGGGTATACATTTTTCTAAACGATATCAGCTTGAAAATTTTCCCACATGTTATGCGTGCTTTTTTCACACAGTACTCACTATGCTAAATGGATTACTATCAATTCAAAATCAGTTACTTTTAATGTACAAGCTCTCTCTACTACGTATTAATTTAGACATTTAGTCATATAGTATTTATTTAGTCAACTATTTAGGCATTTAGTCAAATTAGAATTGACATTTCGACAAAAAATAATGTCATGTCGAAATATATACACACAAAATTGTCTAAATATTTGACTTAATAGGCATTTCGACTAACAACATTAATTATACGAGTACCGTCATCCATTATAATTTCACAAGTGGAAGTTATACTCTCCTATCGAAAATATTCCCAGACGAAACTTGGAGTAGATCACTTTTAGACACATGGGTAGTTATGTTTTGATATTCCCTTTATTACAAGGTCCTCCCGTTTCATTAGTGCTTTTGTTTTGCTCTATGTTTATATTATGAAATTGTTTTTAAGTTTTAAACTTCTTTATTTTTTAGGTTCAGCATATAGAGCGCATATGAAATTAATGGGTTGCGCTTATGATTTTTAAAAATTTTTGAATTTATAACACTGATCACAAATACCGTATACTTGAAATTAGACACCCCTGAAAATAAGCACCCTGGCCTACACTATACCATTTTGGCCTGCATTATGATGATTTCGGCCGGCGTTACGTGCAAAAAAGGGGCTTAATTTCGGAAGCATATGTTGATTCTTAAAAATACTAAGAATTCTATTGCAACCTATGTCTATTTAATCCCAATATAAATTTGATTTAAACTACAAGAATAAATGAATAGTGTATTCAATGGTGACCGATGGTGCGCCAGGTGAAACTGGTGCACCGATGTGAAACTAGTGCACCGATGGTAAAACTAGAGTTATAGATGAAACTAATCTTCAATGGAGCACCAATTTTTTGGTGAAATTAATTAGTTTCACCTGCAACTCTAGTTGTTATATTACAGCTATTGTCAATTCCCTGAGACACGTAAAAATTGGCCGAACAATTTTTCGGCCGATTCAGTTTGTGATTTCGGGAATAATATACAGTATTCAATAAATTGGTATATCAGATATATACGTAATTTAAGGCCAGGTGACTAATATAAATATAAGACTACATGTTGATATGCATAAGTATCTCTGGTTGAATATACTACGCATCTTCGCTGGCAAAAAATTAGAAGGAATGGATTAAGTCTATTAGAGGTGACCCTTTTATTTGGCAATGAGGTGTGACCAATCACATTAGGTGACAAATAAGTATTTACTGTATGGGTTATATGGTAAATATTATTTGTCACATAAAATGGTTGGTCACGCCCCAGTGCCAAATGAAAGGGGTCAAATTTTCGCATTATTGTTTAACAATATTAGCTGCAAAAAAATAAATTTCCAATCCCTACTTTATTGACCCGGCCAGGATATGCACAAATCTGTATGGCCTAATATTTTTTTTGTTTTCTTAAAATTAATTAAGCTAATAACAATCTTCGATAATATATATAGTACTTAAAAAATTTGATAATAGATTTAATCAAGTTCTTTGCAGCATATAAATACAGTATTTAAAAACTTTTATTTCTTTACGTCTAAATTAAAATATCAATACTAACCAATTAATCAATTTATTAAAGTACTTTTTAACCCTTGTTAGTAAAGACGAAGTTAATATTAAAATATAAGCTTATATTAAAGTTTTTAATTTATTATAGTGTCGGATCACTATAATTCAATTACGTTATCACATATGAGATCATGTATTCAACCAATCATAATCATTCACGTGAAATTTTTAATCACCCAATGTCATAAAAAAGTGTTCTCCGCTTCGCTCCGGACCAAAGTTCCAATGATTTTATTATTAGCTATTATTACCCTATTGCAGGAAAATTTTTTGTTGGCTTTAACAAAATACTTGAATATAAAAATTTCATATACTGGTATATGTACTGTACACTATTCCGAATTCCGAATATCAGTGATGCAATATCGCAGATTTTTCTTTTTTTACTTTATTCTTTTTTTAAGCCATGCTTACAGTGCTATATAAAGATAATAATGCATACAACTGCATGTACTGTACGTACGTACTTAGTTTTAAAGTGCGAGATCCATTATTATCGCTTATTATTATTTCTTTATTGCTGATTTGTTAACTATTTTTGCGTAACTATAACTTAAAAGCTTCTGATTCAAATTAGTAATTATTTTAACATCCTTTGTTGAGTAATTATTTCTTATCCTTTTTTGTGAGCATGATCATTTCTTAATTTGTATTCTAATAGTCTTAGTGTTCCATGTTAGAATTGTAAACAAAGTAACAAAGTAATACGGGAATAAGCTCAAAAAAAAAAAAAACGCTATATTTTAAAATATTGTATAATTAGTGTATATATCTATTATTGACTAATTATCAATAGTACGAAATATATGAAATTAAAATTACTAATATTATACTAAAGATGAATTAAGTACTTTTAATAGCGAGAGAATAGACAATTCCCAAAGAAAAGTATACGATCATGTTTAATTCTAGCAATTTGTATTTTAAAATTCTTTTTAACTCGTAAATTCAACCTTTTAAATCGTGTAAAATTCAATAAATTTATAAATATCCAACTAATGAGTCAAGAGAAAATATGTTAGTTTTGTCATAATAATTTACATTGATAATATTTAAAATGTTGAAAATATTCCATATTTGAATGCTGTAAGGAAAAACTCGAAAAAAATATATCAATGCTATTAGTTATGACCGATCGAAACAGATTATAAAAACTTTCGTAATTAAACCAATTAGGTTCGGGCACATCAAAATTTGAATATCTGATGTTTTTTAACATAAATTTGAATTTTATAGTGTTATTTGATAAAGTTTAATATTTAATATTGAATTCTTGCAAATTGTAGCGATATCAGAAAAAAAACTGTTAGATCGTATTTTAGAAAAGAAAAACTACTTTTATTTTAAAAATCAAGAAAAGTTTTTCTATAATTATTGTACATAAAAAGGAATTCGTATATTAATAAAAAGCTGCTATTATTTAATCAAGGATTAATCAAGGATTTTTTTTTTTTTTCATGAAATTACTATAAACAAAAAGAAATTCTTTATTCTTAACCCGATTATGGACAAAAACCCACACAGATGAATATACATTTAAATAAAAGAAAAAATTTTCTACCTTATAATTAAATTAAAACATTCTCTTTTTTGCTTTTGCTGCTTTAGCTGCTTTCTTTCCTTTGGCTTTCCTTGCACCTTTAGCACCCTGAGCTTGAGTTCCTCCATTAGCACCCTGAGCTTGAGTTCCTGCAGCTTTTCCTCCATTAGCACCAGTACCCTGAGCTTGAGTTCCTGCAGCTTTTCCTCCATTAGCACCATTACCCTGAGCTTGAGTTCCTGCAGCTTTTCCTCCATTAGCACCAGCACCCTGAGCTTGATTTCCACCCTTTCCAGCATTGGCTCCATTATTAGCTTTTCCATTATTTGCATTTCCATTAGCTGTAGCTTTTCCATTTCCGTTAGGATTTTGCTTATTACCTTGAACAACATTAACCCTGATACAATCATCTTGAGCACCACGTTGAGCAATAGGCATCATAACAGGCTGATGACTGTCCGAAGCTGTCATAGTGCAAATTCTATATGTGCCAGCAGTTGGTACACCATTTGCAACATTAGCAACTAATTGTCCTTGGTTATTAGTAGCATTGTTCAATCCCACGAAAAATGAAAACACTCTCGCATCAGGAGGAGTATTACCTTTGATTTGTTGGATGGTAACGTGACTATGACCATTAATATTACCATTAGCACCAAGTGATTGTGGATTTACATAATATTGTGTGGCTGGATTTGAGAAAAAGCCAGCATTGAGATTGGTTGATACTACATTAACTGTAAATGGTGTATTTGTTTGAAGAGTCGCGCCATTTGCTGGCGATACGATAAGGGTGGAAATCATATTATTTTTTGATGGCATCTCACCCATAATTGTGGTAACACAATCACCGTTGGGGTTTTGAGTTCCATCAAAAAGTTGTAGCTTAGAAGCTGCGCAACTGTTTCCATTAAGGGCAGCATAGGTCGAAGTCGTAAAGAGCCATAGTAAGGAGACGAATAGGGTGATAAATTTGACTTTGAAATCCATTATTAATTGATTTTTATTTTTTTTCGTATTCTTTTTCTAAGGGATATTATTCAAGTAGTTGTTAGGTAGAAATTATTAAAGATGATTTTTCTTTTCCGAGCTTTTTTTTTGTACTAATCTACGTGAAAATTGCACCAGGCAAATATCCCGAGGAAAAAGTAATTTTTTTTTAAAAAAATTTTTTTTAATAGAAAAGAACGAGAGAAATCAATCAATGATTTTTCTAGTCAGTAAATACTAATGGAAATGAAGAAGCTTTTTCTTAAAAAAACCCCAACGCTGGTTTCAGCAATATTTATACATTCTGCATTGAGTCACAAACATTATTAAGAAACAATTTGATTATTCATAAAAAATTGTATTACCTAAGGTCCTTTTTTAGAACACGTGGGCTACATCTTAATAACATTAACACTAACGCTGAATCTTTTATTTTTTATTTTTTTTGTAGTAGTATCGTATATGCGGGCTATAACGTATTTGTTTCAAGGGGAAATTAATAGGATATTAGACGAATAAAAAAAACCGGTCATTATGTTGTGCAACAGATGCGTGTAATTGATCAGTTTCCTTAGTGAGTATGTTAGATGAACATTTGAAGAATAGTATTAATTAATTATATAGTATCGACGGGATTTACTATACAATATAGATTTACATATAAAATTAAATATTGTTTTCGAAAAATTGGTAAGTCGAAAAAAAGAAAATCATTATCTAACATTATCTTAAACTTTAATATGTTATATAGAAAGCAGAGCGAAAATTTTCAATATTAACATATAATCGTTTAATTATTGAAATAAACTGAGTAAAAAAACAAAGAGCGATTATTAGGTTGTTAATTACCATAATCCCAAAAAAATGCTAATTATCTAACACAAAAAATATAATAGAATTTTAAAGTACGTAGGCTATGGTCGATAAACAAATACATCTCACGTATCACACAATGATTGTACACAAATAAATGTTTCATATATAGCGACGTAGTTAATTTTTTTGATATATAATGTTAGGCATGTACGACTCAAGCCACATGAAATTGATATCTTGGCAAAGTTTCAAATTTCGAACACTAGTACTAAATAGAGTTTACAAAAAAAATACTTAAATATTTAATCATTCCTTTGTTTCAAAAATGGCTACTTAAAAACATAATATCCAAATACCTTAATTGGTAATAGGTAATAGAGCTTCTTTGTAGCTTTAATGCATACGTATTCCGTCACTTTAGTTAAATACGTACTGTAGAATGGATCTCTAACGTTAAATTGTAATTAAATGTATGCTAGTATGCCAAGATATAATAGATTATGCGAGTTATTAAGAAATTTTTATTTTATTAGAAACTTAACGTCTTAGAAGCGCATATGAATCGGAATTACATATTTATATAACAGTCTAACTTAAAATTTGTTAGTATAAATGTGTGTGTAAAAAATCCAAATCAAAAATAAATTAAATCGTTTGAAAAATTTTATTATTATTTATTATTATAAGTGAGCACAAAGCTGTAACAATTATTAATCATCAAGGTAAGAAGAAACTGAATCTTTCATCAATCTAACTAAACTTTTATTAATAATCAAGATATGAAGAAATTGAATCTTTCATCAATCTAACTAAACTTTAAAGTTTATTTAATTATTCAGCTTAAGGAATTTTCCTTTACAGCATTCGAAATAAAAATTTATTTTGATGAATAAATCTTATAAATATTGATATTTACTATTGAATATTTTTTTAAAACAAAACTTGAAATTATTATTAATTAAAAAATCTCAATGAGTTTTGAACATTAACCAAACTTTGACACGATCCGTAGTAAAATTACCAAAATGAATTTGAGAATTTGAGACATGGAATAAACATTTTATTTTTAATGTTACATGCTTCAAATTGCCTTATAAATTAAGCCAATAAAGGTAAAATATGCAATAGGTTTTCGGGGTGTACGTGCACCACTGACAAATTTACTGCGGTTGATTGAGATCTCGATACCATATTGGGTGGATGATCAATGCCAATATTACATTAACGTCGATATACTTGATGCAGTTTTAGGTTCAAATCATTCAATCATGTGATAGTGAACAGTTTCTTCTGCTCAAAAAATTTTTAACTACGAAAAATGTGCAAGTCTAGCATTTTTTAAGCATGATGCCTTTAAACCACATGCTCTTTTTTTTTTTTTACTAAAAATATCAAACAAATTGCAATAAGCCATTCTCTTGTTTTCTCCATTTGGTCGACCTTAAACAATTCAAGAAATAGAGAACAATGATCATCACGTCAATATCGTCTAATTACTTCTGCATGTATATATGCGTTCCTTTTTCTTTTTCTTTTTATTTTTTATTTTTTTTTTAATATCGACAATCTTCGTGGAGAAGTGTGGTTAAGTTTCATCTTTAAGGCTTGGCAAGACATCTTTCGCTCAGCGAATTATGTTCTCATTTTCCTTTGTACGCATAAAGCCAATCCTTAATTACTAACAATTAATACCCCCTTAATCAAAATTAAATCATGCGTTATAAATTATTAATTAACTTCTTCATTATTCTATTCGTAACCACATATTTCATTCATTTATATCAAGCTCAATCTGTAATAGATCCAAACGCATATAATCTAACAGCATTATGTGCGCAATCTATTTCGTCAGCAGCAGATGACCAATCTCTAAACAATTGTATTCCAATGAATACTTTAGTATTGAGCTTACCATCATTTTTCGATAAATCCACGAATGATCCAACGGAAATGTTGAATGTTCTATCTCAACTTATAAAAAATACTTGTACATTAACACCATGTTCAATTGATACGGTCCAGGCAGTACTTCAATCATTAAAATCTCAATGCTCTCAAGAACTTGAATTAAAAAATATAATAATCACTGCAGTTTTCGAGTTATTTAATTATTACTCTTTAGTTAGAGATATTATATGTTTAAGAGATAATGGAAACCAATACGATTCATATTGCGTTTTGGAAACACTAATAAATATCGGTCAAGCTCTTAACAGCACATCATCATCAGCTTCCAATAATGTCGCTAGACGTTCTCCCAAGAATGTTATTGCCAGACGTTGTTTGGAGAGAACTAATATTGATATCGATACCCCTTCTATCGACACAAATGATCCGGCTATTATCACTACGCAAATTTCTTTTTCAAGTGTGACAAACGTTCCTATGCCTACCACTTCTAATATCGTTGAACATTCGAAAGTGACAAGTATTTCTGCGTCTACTACTATCTCAGCTACAACCAGTAGTGCTGTTAGTAGTTCGTCTACCCCTATTCCGACTCCACAAAATACCTCTCCACAAAGTACCTCGAATGTTACTTGTCCGGCTGATATGTCATTAGTACCAGTAATGACTCCTCTTTTAAATTTGTCAAGTCAAGTAATTTGTACCGATTGTAATAAGGTATATTAATTCTATCTGATTTCTTCTAATTATACTATCATTATACTATCAATCTGATTATTTATTATATTCATTATATTTATGAAGGCAATTTTTACAAAAATCCTCTTATATACGAAAAACAATCCAACAGCGTTCGATTGTACACCATTTAGTCCAATAATTTCAATGGCCCCTGGATTTTTTTCTCAAAAATGTAATCCTCAATTCCTCGATCAAAATATTCCAAGTAGTATTTCTGGTGCTACCTCAATTTTGACGCATGTGAAAGTACATGAATTACTGGGTATCGGCATTGGTTGCTTATCCCTTTGGCTTAGTAGTTGCATGATTTAATAATACTTTTGTTAGTGAAAACGTTCTCTTATGTTCTCTTATTAGAAAATGCTTATTTTCCTATGGAAAATATGTCCTATTTATATCATCTATAATATATATTAAAATTTTATCGATTTAATTATAGAATTTTAAATAAAGTGGTGAATAAAGGAGTGTTACTATATTTGTGCTTGCCATAGTATTTACCTGATAAGAATGCTTTCTAGTTTTCAATAAGCTATAATTACATTTAGGTAATAGGTAATGATAATACAGTATTACCTTGTGTTGATTAAAATCAAATAATTTTTTCGAAAAGAATTTCCTTTTTCTATTAAATATAGGTCAAAATATCTTACAAGGCTATCTCAAAAATTCTGGTTCGGAATTCATTATTCTGAAAAAAAATTTGCAATCGGTAAGTTTCTGGTATAGATTCTTATGAGCTCGATTTTCGATGGGTTACGTCTATCGTTATCGTTATTAGTAAAATTTTTTAATGTGATCTGGGCAAATTTTGGCTTAGCCGGCTAGGATTTCGACTCAGGATTTCCTGTATGTTAAAAATAATATCATTGGTCATTACTTACAATAACTGGTTTTTATTCAAATCCATTTTAAAATTTGAGTAGTTCCTGTGGATATCGTATGAAGAATCGAGTACTATGAATCATCCAAAGCAAAAGTACTGTGATGTAACTTATGCCGCAGCTACAGTTACCATATCAGATATAGGTTGGGAGAGCGACGGGCATATATGCACAGTTTAGCCCTGATGGTTAACAGGTGAGAAATATATATATAAATATGTGGGAGCTATTAATGAAGAGCTTCGAGACATTTTCCTCCCTATTTATAAAGGTCTAAATATCTATCTTAAATACGATTTTGGATAAATATTTAAGCATTTACAGTTATATTAACAGATCTTGAATGAATGCACTTTTATACTAAATTATTCAGATACGTATTAACCGTTTGACCGGCATTAACTGATCTGCACTGACTAGTCTAAACAATTATTCTATATAGCTCTAATTTAGGCAAGTTGATTCTGAGGTAAGAATGCGTATGCGTACATAATGAACTGTAATTGCCATCTTCCCATTTTAAGAAAACGTAAATAATGGTGTCGGCGAATTAGAAAAATCTACAAATGCACAGGCCAATAACTGGCATTTTAAAGTATATAGCAACTAATCGACGAACTTATGTATGTACTGTATATACTAAATATAAATTGATTTAACCTTAGCTGCCGCAATAAAAACTTCACGGCAGATTCTCGATTTTGATTGGCTAAGAGCGACAATCAAAAAATTAGGCCGGAATTACTCAAATGAAATCACAGTCGCCTATTACAGTATCGTATCCCCTTTAGATTGTAAATTCCAACATTTTTTTGTACGTACAGTACGTAAGTGACCCTTCATTTGGCACTTGGGCGTGACAAATAATAATCTGCTATAAATTTTAAAATTTAAATACCTTTATCAAAGATATCTCCACCAAATTCGATGGAAATTTTTTTATTTTAATTCTACAGATCCGTAGAATTCAAATAAAAAATTTTCATTGAATTTGGTCAAGAACTCGTGAAGATATCTTCAATAAAGGTTTTTTTTTCACTTTCAAAAACGTATGTTACAAAGAAGCTGCGCCGAAATTGTTTACAGGAACTTTCATCGAAGTTATTTCCACGAGTTCTTGATCAAATTCGATTGAAGTTTTTTATTTTAATTATACAAATCCATAGAATTCAAATAAAAACATTTCAAGAACTCGTGGAGATATCTTCAATAAACGTTTTTTTTTCACTTTCAAAAACGTATGTTATATAGAAGCTGCGCTGAAATTGTTTACAGGAACTTTCATCGAAGATATCTCCACAAGTTCTTGATCAAATTAGATAATTTTTTTTTTATTTTAATTCTACAAATCCGTAGAATTCAAATAAAAAAATTTATCGAATTTGGTCAAGAACTCGCGGAGATATCTTTTTCTACCTCCAGAAAACGTACAGTATATCACAAAAAAGCTATGCTAAAATTATTTATAGAAACTTTCATCGAAGATATCTCTACGAGATAAAATTTTTTTAATTTAATTCTACAGATCCATAGAATTCAAATAAAAAATATTATCAAATTTGATTAAGAATTTGTGAAGATATCTTTGATAAAAATTTTTCTACTTTAAAAACATATTTTGTTTACAGGAACTTTCATCAAAGATTTCTTCACAAGTTCTTGGCCAAATTCAATTGAAATTTTTTTATTAATTATACAAATCCATAGAATTCAAATAAAAAAATTTTATTGAATTTAATCAAGAACTCATGGAGATATCTTCAATAAAAGTTTTTTTTACTTTCAAAAATGTATTTTACAAAGAAGCCATGCTGTAAATGTTTACAGGAACTTTCATCGAAGATATCTCCATGAGTTCTTGACCAAATTCAATGAACTTTCTTTATTTTATTCTAAAATCAGTAGAATTCAAATAAAAAAATTTATCAAATTTGGTCAAGAACTTGTAGAGATATCTTCGATAAAAGTTTTTTCTATCTCCAAAAAACTACAGTATATTACAAAAAAGCTATGCTAAAATTATTTATAGAAACTTTTATTGAAGATATCTCTATGAGATAAAATTTTTTTATTTTAATTCTACAGATCTATAGAATTCAAATAAAAAATCTTATCAAATTTGATTAAGAATTTGTAAAAATATTTTTAATAAAAATTTTTTTACTTTAAAAACATATTTTGTTTACAGGAACTTTTATCGAAGATTTCTTCATGAGTTCTAGGTTAAATTCAATTAAAATTTTTTATTTTAATTATACAAATCCATAGAATTCAAATAAAGAAATTTTATTAAATATGATTAAGAACTCATGGAGATATCTTAAATAAAAGTTTTTTTTTTACTTTCAAACCTGTATTTTACAAAGAAGCCATGCTAAAAATGTTTACAAAAACTTTTATCAAAGATATCTTCATAAGTTCTTGACCAAATTCAATAAACTTTCTTTATTTTATTCTACAAATCCATAGAATTCAAATAAAAAAATTTTCATTAAATTTGATCAAGAACTCATAGAGATATTTTTAATAATTTTTTTTACTTTCAAAAACATATGTTATAAAGAAGCTATACTGAAATTGTTTACAGAAACTTTTATTGAATATATCTCTACAAGTTATTAATAAAATTTGATGAAATTTTTTTATTTTAATTTTACAAATCTGTATAATTCAAATAAAAAATTTTTATCAAATTTGATCAAAAACTTATGAAGATATTTTCAATAAATGTTTTTTTTCTACTTCTAAAAACATAAATTACAAAAGGCTATGCTAAAATTGTTTATAGAAACTTTCATCGAAGATAACTCCATGAGTTTCTAACCAAATTCAATGAAAATTTTTTATTTTAATTCAGTAAATCCATAAAAAAATTATTAAATTTGATTAAGAACTTGTAAATAATTTTAAAAATATTTAAATGATAAAATTGAGGTGATCTATATAAACCATAAATGAATAGCAATTACCAAATTTTATATAGTAAATACTTATTTGTCTTGTCAGTATAAACTTGATCACAATCAATATTCTTTTTACTACTCTTGGAGTATTATTTAATTAATCTTGGATTTTTTGTAAAAGATCAGGATATTATATACAGCACTGTATAGTAAGTGAAAATTTTCTTAAGCAAATTTTACCATAATATAGATTTATATTCTGATATTTAGAATTATTAGAGAAGGTAGTTTTTAGATATAGATAGTTGATCATAGCCCTAGTTTCTATACACTTAGGGTCAATAGTATTATTATTGTAACACTGCAGAACCAAGGACTCAGAATGTCTAATAACAAACCTACATGTACTAAAAATCATCTTAATTTAATAAATAATGTTTTGAGAACAGATTTCGCTTTAAAAAATATATATATAATAGAAAGTTTAAGAAATATAGCTTGGATTATCTTATATAAACCATTGTTTTTATAAAATCTAATTTTGTTCAAATTACTATTTGAATTCTTTCCAAATTAAATGCTTATAGTTTAGAAATAGTTGTATTATTTAGTATATATTTATAAGTATTTGCAAAATTAATATATAGAATAGTCACATATAAGCTTTTTAAATAAAAAAATTCCAATATGAAAATACTGTTAAAAGATTCTTAATCTTTAAAACAATACAATTTTTTGAATTTTATTAAACTGTAAACTTGGATTAAATATTTACATAGAGTAAAAATTAATTATTTGTATCATGATGGCAAAAAAAACAGCAGGATTCATAGAATCAAATATAAACAAATAAATTTACTATTTAAAATCTTCTATCTCTTCAACCAATTATTGTATTTATTATACTTTTTGAAAAACACACTTCACATAATTTAACAGATCTATAGATTCTATTCAAATTCATATTACTACTATTGCATTATCATAATTGATAGCACTTAATTACATGAAACAAAAAATATAGTATAAAGTCATGAGTTTTACCATAGATTATATCTTCAAATTTTAATTTTTAATTCTTCTCTCAATTGATAGAAAAAAAATTAAACAGATCTATTTTTTTATTATTAAAATAAATAGTTAGAATTCTCTTTTTCTTCTATTTAAAACATTAACCTTACATACTAGCTCCTTTTGACAATTATTTGAACAAAAATTTCCCACCAAAGAAAAACAAAACTTTTGTTGGAGAGTTATGACCTAATGCGGTAGTTTGCTTAGAGGTTAATAGTTTCTCTTTCAGAACTCTTTATAAGTTGTATATTTGGCATGCAAGCCAAGAGTATTAGTATACAAGATAACTAGCAAGAGGTGTATACTCTTGAATACAAAATTTTAGTGGAAAGACAAAAGTCTTCTCTGTTAATGAAGTTACTTAGGCTATTATTTCTAAAAGAAGAACACAGAGAAAACAACAAGAATTTGCTTTTCTTCAAGCTGCATTCTTTTACTTAGCCAAATAGTT